TCTCTCTCTCTCTCTCTCTCTCTCTGTGTGTGTGTGTGTGTGTGTGTGTGTGTGTAATGTAGATGTAACAGTTGGGGCTGGACACCACAGGGTGACTTATTTTCTTCATTTTTGCTAGTTGTGAATCTCCACAGTAGCCTCCATCTGCTGATAAAGGAGGCTGCTAAGGGGAAGAATCCGTTTTCTGCAGGGATGAGCCCCCTGATGGGTTATCCAGTCCCAGTGGTCAGCCCCAAATAGATGTGTGTATGAGCATGATAAATAGGCTGGGCAGTTTGTATACATACATATACACATATGTGTATACCAATTAAAATTATAGAAGAAAGGATCATGAACTTGAGAGGGAGTTGGGGGGCACAAGGAAGGAGTTGGAGGGGGAGGCATGGAAATGAAATGAACATGGTTCTCACGTATCAAATTCTCAAAAAAAACTTTCTTTAAGTCAAGTTTAAGAAATCCAGGACCAGTAACGACTCAGGCTATCAAACAAATTTGCACTGCCTCCTCAGTCAGTACTCCAGCAAAGGTACAAGGCATCTCTCATCCTTCTGCAACTAGCCGGCCAAGTAGGTGTGCAGGGAGATTCAGTCATGGTTGCTAATGTATATTTCCTTCCTGATTTGTAAAGTGAGACAACTTTTCAGATACTTGTTGACTGCCTTTAAGTCTTCTTTGCCGAAGTCTGTATTCTGGTTCCATACCTGTGGCAGTTTGAATGAGAATGGCCCTTACAGGCTCATATATTTGAATGCTTAGTCACCAGGGAGTGGAACTGTTTGGGGAATAACTAGGAGGTGTGTCTTTGTTAGAGGAGGTGTGTCACTGGAGGTAGGCCTTGAGGTTTCCAAAGCTAACTCAGGCCCAGTGCCTCTCTCTCTGCCTGTTGCCTGCAGATCAGGATGTAAAACTCATCTACTGCTCCATGCTTATCTGCTTTCTCCCATGATCATGGACCAACCCTCTGAAACTGTAAGCAAGTCCCAATTAAATGCGTTCTTTTATATGAGCTGCTGTGGACATGGTGTCTCTTCACAATAATAGAAAAGTAGTAAATACAGTACCCATTTTAAATTAGGTTATTGGGGATATGGAGAGGTTCCTTTTGATATTGAATTGCACGGATTTCTTATGTTTTGAGTACTATTTACTATCAGTTACTTTGGTTTGCATATATTTTCTTATAAACCACAAAATTTTTATTTTATTGTTTGGCTTGAATTCTTTTTGAATTTTAATTTCTTTTTTTAGTTTAAAGTTTTACTTTTTGAGAAGTTCATACATGAGTGCTATAATTATATTATTTCAACCCTCCCCTCTCCCCCTTCTAACTCCCTCACATTCATGACCACTGATCCTTTAATTACCATGTTGACTGGCTAAGAAAGACTGTATACATATGGTACTGGAGAAAAGCATTACAAGGAAGGGCAGACCCAAATGCCTCATGATCTAGCATGTCTAAACACTCCACAGGCTAAAAGGCAGGCCAGAGGAATGGAGTAGATGAGTGAGACAGAACTGAGATGAGACAGAAGAAAACAGGAGCTGCACTCCAGAGGTCTTACCGACCATATGCTGGATTTGGATTTTATACCTTCAACATTAGAAAGTCAATGGCATGTATTAGTGTGGTGTAACTTGATTCTCTAAGAATCTGGTGGGTAATGAATAGAATAGTGGGAGTACGGTGTTGGATGCTGAGAGACACAGAGCAGACACAGTATGGCGTTCGGGTAATTAAAATACCTGCTTATGGAGTTGGAGAGAAATGAGCCAATTAGAGGTGCATTTTAAAGGTAAATGCATAGAAATCAGGGATTGGTTAAGGGAGGTCGAAGGTCGAAAGATCATGGTTTACTTGAATTTAGGTCTTTATAGAAGGCAGCAGATTACAGAGGGAGTTGGCTTAGAGTGAGTGAAGAGGTTATCAGGGACTCTAGTCTTACTCATAGAGAGTTCAGATAACCAAAACTAGCTTCACTGCACTACAGTGTAAGCACATGATTTGTCTAGTGTAGTGGGTAGCTGTTCCAGCTTTGACCTGGAAGTACAACCCCCAATGAAGCTTCCAGTAACTGCCATGCCTACCTACGACCTGCCCCTGAGGCGGGGCCACATGGGGAACCCTTAAGACCCAAGATCTGGATGTGCCAGGTCTCTTGGTTCCTGGTGATCATGGATGCTGGATGGTAGATCGAGCAGAGTTCTCCAGAGAACACCACTGGACTGCACTCCACTTGTCCTGGATCCTGTAAACAACCCCTTTACTGGCTATAAGTTACCCCAAAATAAACCTCCTTTTTAACTACATGGAGTTGCCTTAATAAATCCTCCAATACAAGGTTCAGGATCACCAGGAACCAAGAAACCCGGCACATCCGGATCTTGGGTCTTATGGGCTCCTGTCTCAGCCCCGCCTCAGGGGCAGGTCATAGGTAGGCGTGACAGTTACGGGAAGCCTCACTGGTAGTACTTCCAGGTCAAAGCTGTAACAGCTACCCACTACAGTCTAGGTTCATGGGAGTGGACAGAGTCACGTTGGGAATTGGGTTGTTAGAGAAGAGGGTTACAGCAAAGTCACTGAGAGGACTGAGAAGACCTGCTCAGGACAGTGAGAGACAGGCTATGAGAGAGAGGAAGGGGCATCACGTGCTTCAGGAAGAGCAGAGGTGCACTGTGACAGCTGTTAGAAAAAGTGAGAGGTAGAGAGGGCATTCCTTCTCTTCAGCTCACAGCACTGATGTGAGCGGATCCTTGGTGGAACTTTGAAGGACTCAGAAGCAAGTGGGGACATGCCTTTCAAGAAAATCCCTAAAGAAAGGAAAGAGGGGAATCCTGACTGGAGAAAGATGGAGGTAATGGTTTCTTGCACCATTTCCTGCACCATACACTTTAGTTATATACGAAAAACATATAGTAGAAGGGAAGGTAGGATGGATACATTTAAAAGTCTGCTGTTCCCTGATAGGCAAGAATGTAGCCACTTTCTATCCCTTTAGCTGCTACTTGCTGTCCTTGGTATTGTATTTACAAGCCAGTAAGCAGTTGACTACTGCCCCAAGTCCTGTCTGAATACTAGCTCCATGTCTCACACCACAGTCTCTGAGTTTACAAACAAGCTGAAAATCTACCTGAAGACCTTAGCAAACAGTTGGATCTCAGCCAATGACATGCATCCCAGTGCTTGCCAGTGGCAGGCAGCCAATGGCCAGACCCATAAGGCAAGTGTTCTCAGAAACAGGCTGTCAGTCCTTAAGTGAAGTCCAGAGTGCTCTGAACTTCAGCTGGGTCCCAGCATCCTCTCATTCATGAATTGTTCTCTGCTCAGATACAACCCATGGAATATGTCTAATTTTTGACTTTGAACAAAACAATTTTTTGTTTACTGTTTTTCAATCTATTGAGACATTTCCTCTGCTCTTACTATCCCCCCCCCTTTTTCTTTAGAGACACATTTCAGACTTTATGGATCCTTTGTTCTTGGTCATAACTACTCGACTCTGCTGTCAGCATAAATACAAACACAAACCGGATGCACATGAACACAAATGAGTTTCAAGAAAACATTATTTACTCCAGGAGATGGCAGGCCAGGTCAACCTGCAGGACACACTTTTCCAACCTCTGATGAGATCGTGAATGTGTGGTATGGATGGACTCTGGAAGGTGACAGTAATTGGTGGCATAAGGTTCTGAAATGGTAACACTGTCTCCATAGTCACTGCACCCCCAGCACTGTGGATGGGGGACAAGGACCATGAGACATCCCCAAGGGGGAAACAAAGTTAATGTGGATATCCTGCCCCTGCCCCAGGCATGGCTTCATATTTAGACAAATCTCATTCTTCTAGCCAGTCAGCCCCGCTGTCTGTATGGATGAATCTCCAGCCGAGGCATTTCCCACCCATAGCTCTGAAATCAGACATTTTCCATTAATTCTACAATTTCCATTAAAGTCTGAAGTACTGAAGATTACAGAGTCCTTAATTCCTCAGGAAACCTTGGTTAAAAAAAGATTACAAAGTATGTTCCCACGTCCTTGCATATTCTCTGGTTCTCACCTAGAAATGGCACTGGGTTTGCAATGTCTCTGAATAGCCATGGTTCAAGGAGAGGGCATTGTCCTTGACAAGATGGATAAGCTGTAAACAGCCTTAAAAATAGACACTATTGAATTATCCATGCCTCTCGTGCCTTCCTTGTTCCTCCCACTGTGACATGACAGAGGCAGAACAGTGTGTGGTGTTACTATTCCAGCCTGACACTAACGTTGATCTGTGAAGCTCTGACAATGGGCGATGTGAGGCAATCTGGAAGGTCCGGCACAAAACTTCTCCTGTGGACCTAAGCCCTGGGGAAGGCATGAGGCTCACAGGTTCTCACTTTCAGTAGAATTGATTTTCAGTACAGCTTTAGGGTCACTATAGGCATAGGCAAAGGGATAAATTCTCCAAGCTCCTTCTTCCTCCCCTGCACAGCCTCTCCCCATGCGCTGGGGGCAACTCCTGCCTACACACTGATGTACAGCTGTCAGCCAACGTCGTGTCCACTCTAGGGTTCATTTTGGGGGAATATTCAGGAGTCTTTGTGGATGCCTAATGGTGCACATACCCTCACAGTAGGGTGCAATGATGCACAGTGGTGAGAAGTCACCACAAAGTAAAATCTGTCTGGATGCATGGTAATGTGTACTCACATCCTCTATGTGGGGTCTGTATGGATGCATGACGGTGCACTCTCACCCCATGTGGGGTCTGTGGGGATGCATGGTGGTGTGCACTCAGCCTCACAGTGAGGTCTGCACTGATGTATGATGGTATGTAATCACCCCCACAGTCCTTGCATGGTCATTTCACTGTCCTCAGTCCTGGATTCTGTCCAATTTTTAGGGCTGTATTTATAAAATTTATGAATGTGGTTATTTAAAAAGAGTCAGGCTTAGCCAAAATAAACCATTCTTTTTATATATATAATAAACGAATGTTTATTCTGGTCACTAAAAAAACAAGTTATACATTTTTTTAAATAACAGAAATTCCATTCTATTTGAGAGAGCTGTTGCTTTGTTAAATATAGAACATGGGTCCCAAGAGGTTTTCTGAAAACATTTTGCTTGAGAAGCGTGTGTGAGTGTGTGTGAGTGTGAGTGTGTGTGTGTGTGTGTGTGTGTGTGTGTGTGTGTGTGTGTGAATTCACCTAGTTAAAGTTAATACTTCTTTCACCTTCTTTCCCATATCATTAGTTAGAGAAATCCTCTTTGAAGAGACTTTATTTTCTGGGGCTGGAATATTGCTTGGAGTTGGGATTTCCTTGTTATCCAGCTATGTGTTTAGGGAAAGTGACCTGGCAGATGGCAACCGCTCTGCTTGTCCTTCCTTTGGCTTGTAATGGTGAGAGTTATTTGAGTTACGAACGTAAGCTCTGCAGGTGTTTGTCTGAGGTCCCCAAGGCTTCCTTGGAGAGCGTAGTTGGATTGATTGCCTATTGGCCTCTGGAGTTCCCATGGGCAAGGTCCTTCAACAAGAGCAATTTCCAGTGGGAGTTTTAGCCTGGGGCACTGGAGTCTGGAAAAAATGACCAGGATAGGAACGGTGAACCGGCCTAGCTAGCTTAGTGTCCCAACTGCTCACCAGTTAGGAGATTCAGGTCCACTTTGGAATATGGAACTTGTGCTCTGCTCTGAAAGAAGATTGGGAGCACAGAGCCTCATAGGCAGCAGATGGTGCTTTATGTGGCCAGAACTGGAGAACAGACTTGTCCTGAAGTATCAATTGCCTCCCTCTCAGGAGAAGCTGCTCTCAGCTGAGGAGTGTCCTCAAAGTGCCTTCCTCCATGATGTCTGTCATCACATGTGGAGACGGTTGCTTCTAGGTCTATGTTTGATGTCTTGGTTGAGGTGAACAAAAGGAGAGGCTGAAAGCAGAGCGAAGCAATGACCACATCTTCCATCTGGATCCCACGGGCAAACCCCAAATGATGCTCTGCAAGTGTCAAGACCTTAAGGAGCTGAGAGACTCTGTGAAGAACCCGACATGATCCTCCTGAAGGCATTCGTCAAAGGTTTTACACACACACACACACACACACACACACACACACACACACACACACTGTAGCCCAGCCCATCAAGCTACTGAAGATAAACATGATTGGTCCCTCCATGTTATACAGTAGGGCACCTAGGATCAAGGCAAATTAATGATGATCACAAAGCCAAACAGTACCAGGTTTAAAAGCTAGCATCTTCTCTAATCTACCATATGTGTGTCTAGATCCACAGTCTGCCTTCTTAGAAACCTCATCACACTAAGGTTCTGCAGGGATCACACATGTCTCAACACAGTCCTGCCTTTGGTGGGAGCCTTATCTCCCTGCCCTTCTGTTAGTGTCTGGGAGCTTACCTTGTCCTCCTCCATCACAGCCACCCCTCCACTATTCTGGGCTCTGACTGTGGTTCAGTCTTTGACTTCTGCAGCTCCATCCTCCCAGTGTGCCTAACTTTCACCTGATGTTGGATTATGCAGATGTGTCTATGTCTCACCCAAGCTTCTTGGTGCCAGGGCCCATGTCTTGTTCCTTATATGCTGATAACAAAAGGGTAATTGCACTACATTAAATGAGTCCCTGTATCACAGGTGGTCTATGGCTTCCACATCTTGTTGCAATCAGACATCCAAGTAGCAAATACAGGCTACACCAAAGAGAGACATTGTATGCCCACTTAAGGTTACAAAAGAAGGCTCTGGACAGCCTGATATGAATGGTAATTTTAGTGATAAGAGATGAGAAAATTGCAGGTGGAAGTGGCAGGAGACAATTTCAAAGGCTAGAAAGTGAAAAAGATATTTGTGAAACCAAGAACTTCAATGTGTCTGGAAGGCAGTGCATCTTGCAGCAAGTACAGCAATTCCAGATCACAGGGACCTTGGTGTGCTGTGAATCAGGAGGTGATTTTGTTGAAGGTAACAATATGTTGTTACATGCTTTTTTTAAAAGATGAATTAATATACATAAGAGGATTAAAATACTATCTGATACATAATAACTCCACAAGAAAGGTTGAATATCTTATTAAGGGTTTATACACAAAATATCCAAAGACTGGCATTAGGAGCATGGTGGAGCACAGGTGAGTGAGTTGAATGGACATCAGCCAGAACACATGTCAGTAGAGCCTAGCTGATCCTGGGGCAGTCACGGTAGTGAGAAGCATGAAAAACTCTGGAACATTTCTAAAGAAGAGAAAATAGTCACCATCGTCCAGTCCAACAGTTGCAAGCTGTGCAGGGTATCTGAGGATGAGGCCAGTGAGCAGGGTAACTCAAGGCAGCTCTGTGGACAGAGCCCCAGCTAGAACAGTGCACTGGGTGTGCAGTGATCCGATGGCAAGACTCAGCTCAACATCCATAAAAGAAGGCACATGGAATTACAAAGTAACCTAATTATATTAAAATTTGTTCAACAAAATACTTTTAAAAGGTGTAGTTGTGTATTTTTTATTAGCAAATTAGCCAAGATTTAGTAACGCATCTGATAATTACTATAATTTCAAAGTGCTGGCAAGTGTAAATAATATGTGAAAATGAATGTTTTTGATCATAGCAAAGTTGCATGCATTTCTAATACAACTTTGGGCTGTTATCTATGCTCATAATGAAAAGAAATGCTAGATTTCTTTTTAAAAGTGGAAATAACAATGTAATACGTAATAAATGTTATAACCCTTTTCTGTCCAAGTCTGTGGACTCCTTATTCAAAGAACTTGTACACTGGGATCAATTTGCAGCTTTTCTAGTGCTTGAATTCCAGATGGGAAGAGAGGATCTTTATCTTTCTAATAATTATGATAAAATCACTACATTGTGCACAGAGGTGCAGGCAGATTTTCCATTGGTGGTGGTTAATGGGATCCAGACAGTAATCCCTGGTCTACAGGGCAGACACCATGTTTACTAGATAGTTTGTTCGATTGTGTAACAATAGAGACAACAGATCTAGGTAATGATGGTGATTGGGAAGGAACTGTAGAAAGCAATCTGGTTTTATCGGTAACTATAACATCAAAGTTAACAGTGTCAAGCAATCAAGAATTAGGCAGAATATTCCAAAGGGATTTCTATGACTCTGAAGATGCAGTGGAGAGTATGTGGATAGTCTTTAAAGACAGTCACAGCTTTTACCCTCCAGGTATTCATTTTCCATTCACATAATGGTGATATCTGTTTTTGTTTGGAGTGCAAACTCCCACGACAGTCTAGTCAGTATTGGCCCATTATAAGTTCACTACCCTTAACTTCAAGTTGAGCTCTTATCTTGTCATTGATGTCTCATTGGCCATAAAATTAGTTCTAATAGTGGCTTGTAATGCATATCAGATAGGTAGTAATCCAAAGCTCTTCTTGGAATTTATCAGCAAGAGAAATCCTCCAAAGCATGATGAATGGGAAGTGAAACTACTGATCATCTGAGAGGCCAATATCCTCTAGAATGAACAGTAAATGAAGAAAAGCAGAAATCAAAGATGAAGAATTGAGGATGGATCCTGATAAGGTCATCTGGACTCCTAGATCCATCTGGGCTTCAAGTCAGATGCATCTGTGAACTTGGGGACATGCCATTGCATTCCTTCTTTCCTGTGAGCTGTTTTGAAATTGATGTCCACCCTTCAGCAGTTATTTTGACTGGTCAATTGCTTGGTGAATGAAGACTTGTGATCACTTCTTTGCTAGGCCAATGTTCTCTTGCATCAAGATTGCAAACTTCTGCTTCCCTACATGCATAGGACCCAGCACAGGAGGACTGTAGAGAGGAGATGAGACAAGAAGACAGCAGATGTGGTCTCACTTCCAGAGCGGTGCAGGAAAGCAAAGGTGACCTGAGTGTGCCTCTCAAGGCCCAGCCAAACCACTCTCTACTCAACTTCACCTTACCTCATCCTGTTATCTATCTGGACTTTAGCACAGTTAACTATATCATCTAAAATCTATAAATGGTCAGGGTAATCAATTGTCCTCAATATCCTTAGAACCTTGACTTATTTTTGTGTATCAAATTTTGAATCAACAGTTTAGATACGGAAGAATAAAACTATACGTGAGGTGAATGGGAATCTGTAAGATCAATGGGAGACACAGTGGCATTTTTAAAGGTTCTCAATGCCCCCCGCCCCAGATGTTTACTACACACTCTGCTCCATCCTCTAGTCTAGAGTCATGGGAAATGATTGATTGTCAAGTTTCTCAGTTTCAGAGAACTTCTTACAGTGGTGGAGAGAAAACACACAGACAAAGACCTAAACAACCAGGAGACTTTCAGATAGGAATGTACTAATACCTGGAAATACAACCTGACAACATTGTGGAGAATGACCTACCAAAGTATGGCTGCCAACTTCATGGTTTGCTTTGTCAGGCAACTGGGAGGCACGTGTGGTCTCTTGGCATTCTAACGTGATGCAGATTTTACAAAATCATTTGATTCCTTGTACTCGTATCAGATGATTTCACTAGAAGATGCAGTCATCTTTAAATGATGTGTCTGTGCTGTGATATTGATCATCTCAGCTTCATCCCTCCCTGTTCCCCCTGGGAATATAACTAGATTATCATGTGTACATTGGACACTGAGGGAGAGAGTTGGAGTGTGGTGTGAGTGGGGAAAAACAGTAAGTAATAGCAACACTCTGAGCTCATCACACTAAATTCTGCTTTATAAATACCAATTCCTTTAGTCCTTTGAGATAAAAATAAAAACTATGCCCATCTTTTTATATGATAAAAGTGGGACACCGCATGTGGTGAGTGATTTTTTTTCCTTTCCAGAGTCAGCAGGTGACACAGCTGTGCAACCTGGCTCCTCATTCTCTAAATCCCAGACCCTAGACTACTACTCACACTGCCTTTGTCTGGGTGTTGAGGAAGAAGCAGGGCAATCCTGAAGACCTGGAGCCAGCAGATCTATGCTCAGGTTCCTGTACCTACCCTGTTAGCTTGGCAATGCTGAAAGGTCTTTGTGTGTGTGTGTGAAAGTTAATTGCCTCTAACAGGATAAAAATAACCATTGTCTCGGTCTGAGATCCCCTGAGAGCCACATCCAAGACAAAGACTTGGGTGCAGGTGTTTGACTTGTGTCATAACCACAAAAGATAGCCACAAGGGACCCAGGGAAATGCAACAAGGAAAGAGGAAAGGCTAATGAGGGTGTGGACCTGAGCTTGTGCTGTGGCCATTGAGACCTGATTTCTCCAATGCAGCTCAGAAGTGCTCCCGGGCGTGAGAGGGAAGCAATCTCCCATAGATTCCTGCTCGACTGTTTGCTCCACCTCGGTGAGGGTCACTCCTATATGAACCTATGGCTGTGGCATCTCTAGACTGTATTAACAAAGCTGAATGCCAACTATCTTATATCAGGGAAAACATTCAAGATGCATTGTGCTGAGGAGAGAGACAGGAAGGAATATACTGGAGCTGACTTGGAATGTCCACCACATTCTGAAGGACATAGGTCAGGATGTGTAGAAACTAACCAGAAACATCTGTGGTGCCTTTCTCATTGTATTAGGCTGCAATTATGCATTAGCCATAGCATCTGGCTGAGTGCCTGAGAACCGTGGGTAAATACCACAGGCCCAGTTTTTCAAAGAGAACAAAGTCAGTTTGTGCACAACCACAATTACCTGTTTTCTCTACTATTATCACATTGTGATCATTGAACCACTGAAAATTCAAATACAAAGGATCTTGTGAGCTCAGCGACCCACACCATAGAAAAATTAATCTAAAACTTATTACATTCTTGGACATAAAGTTCCAAACTATACAGGATTTTTTCAATGTTGAAATTTATAAAAAATTATTTCTGAAGACCATTACTCAGTCATTTGAAGTAGACTCACTTGCATATTTTTTTAAAAATCACTTATTTATCCATTCTTTGACAATTTCATGCATAAATAGAATGTGTTAGGATCATATCATCTCCCCGCCCCCAACCTCTCACAGACTCACTCCAGGTCCACTTCATATCCTCTGTCCCTTAACCTTTAACCTCAGCAAAGGTGAGGCAAGCGTCCCAGCACTAAGCTGTATCCCCTGCCCTTCTGCAGTTTTCCATCTTGAGAATATCATGATGCAGTATCAAGGATTGGCTCATAACTCATTCTTAGTCCAGGCAGGCTTTCAACTTGGGATTCTTCTGTCTCCGTCTCCCAAGTAGCTGAAACCTGGGACACTAGGTTCGGCTCTATTCTATATGTTTCTGGAAAAGGGAGGAAAGGAGGAGAAAAGAACACATGATGAATTGAGATTACACTAACGCATGCTTCATAAAGAATACAATAAATACATGAATATCATCAAATTTAAGAACTTTTGCTTTTAAAAAGTAACTGTTAAAAGACTAAAAGAATAAACCACAGCTGGAGAGAAATCATTTGCCAATCAAATACTCATAAATGACTTGAATTAATAATATATGAAAACCATTCTACAGTCAGAAGATTGAGTCACCTGCCCAGCCTCCTAAGCGCAGCTCCCACCCCTCAAAGAAGCTTGCGAGTGTGCTGGCTAATTTGACATCAACTTGACACAGCTAAGATCATCAGAGAGGAGGGAGCCTCAATTGGGAAAAAAAAATGCCTCCACAAAATCAAACTATAGACAAGCCTGTAGGGCATTTATTAATTAGTGATTAATATGGAGGACCCAGCCCATTGCAGGTGGGGCCATTCCAGGGCTGATGGTCCTGGGCTGGTTCTATGAGATAGCACGCTGAGCAAGCCAGTAAGCAGCGCCTCTCCATGGCCTCTGCATCAGCTCCTGCCTCTGGTTTCCTGCCCTGCTTGAGTTTCTGTCCTGACTTCCTTCAGTGGTTAACAGTGATGTGGAATCATGAGCCAAATAAACCTTTTTCTCCTCAAGTTGCTTTGGTCATGGCATTTCATCACAGCAATGACAACCCTAACCAAGACAGAGACTGTTACAGACATTCACAACTGTTCAAAATGCAGGAGGCATGTGACTGTGGGGTCCCCAATCCCAGTCAATGCATATGAAATGCAACCACAACACCCGAGGCTCCATAAAATGGCAGAAGACAAGGCAGAAAGTTTATAAAAGCCAGAAGACCAGATCACCTGCTGCTAGACGGTGCTTTCTAGACATGACAGGGATACTGCACCTGTGACATCTCAACAATACAATTCCCTAAATAATACTTGCAAAATGATATAACCAATCAGCATGGGGGAGATTTCACAAGGCCTCGTAGATGAGTTGCAACAGGCAGATGATGGCTACCAAGGTAGTAAAATCAATCTTACTCTGAAAATCAGTCTTCCTCTTATAGTGCTTTGGCGTAGATTACTAACCTGCATGCAAGCTTGTGTGTGTGTGTGTGTGTGTGTGTGTGTGTGTGTGTGTGTGTGTCAATCACAATTAAAGAAGAAGAAGAGGTCATAAATCTGGAAGGAGTTAGGGGATATACTGAAGTTGGAGAAGGAGAGGGAAAGGTGAGAGTAATGGAGATGTCGTGCTCAAATATGATATTCCCAAAGAAAGAAAGAGGGGGACAGAGGGAGGGAGGGAGAGAAGGAGGGAAGGAGAGATAGAGACAGAGACAGAGAGAGAAGCTATAAGAGCAGTCAAAAGATTTGACTGGACACTTTACCAAATAAGACATACAAATGGAATGAAACACATGAGAAACCACACCAAATAACCTTAGTTCTCAGGGAAAAGCAGAGGAAAAGATGATGAGACCCCAGTTGACTGTACAAAGTGGGAAATCCATGCCCTGACTGAGTAGCGGACAGCAATGGAGACCCAGAGCTCTCATGCCACTGGAGGAATGCAGAATGAGTTAAAGACACTGGAAATGGCTTAGCAGCTTCTGGAAATCTGAACACACAGAGACCAGCCTTTCCTCTCATGAAAGCACACAGCCACATAAATGCTTTTATGTAAGCATGCAGAATCTTTTTCTTAGTGATTTCCAGATACTGCAAATGTGTGAAAAGTCCAGCTGGTGAATGGACAGATTATAGTGCATCAATACCACAGAAAATGCTCAGCTGGAAAACAAGCATAAACTACTGATACATATAACAACATGGATTAGTCTGGAAATAATTGCAGTGACTATAAAAAGCCAGACGAAACAAGAGTGCACACTCCATGCATCTAATTATATCTAATTGTCTAGAATCTCCAGTGACAGAGAACAGATTAGGGGTTGCCTCAGAAGGAGCTGTGGGATGTGGCTCATAAAAAGGCCTGAGAAAACCTTTGCAGTGATGGATATGGTCACAGTATTGATTTTGATAATGATTGTATGGCTGCATTGGTGTGTAAAAATCTAGTAAATTGAACAGTCTAACTATATGTAGCTTATTATATGCCAATTAAAGCCACTAAAATTGAAGTTGACCTGATTTAAAGATGGGGAAATTATCAGTGTCAAGGTGTAACTTGTAAATGGCCACTTAATTTATCTGCTCACAAGGCTGCACATAATGTGCCATCTACAACTCCTTGTGAAGCAAGCCATTAAAGAGTCTGCAGCTCTGACTAGTACATATGTTTCTATTTATGCCTCTGCCACTGGACTAGGATTAATGCTTTAAATACCTCATCATTATGGCCATTAATCCCAAGTCCAGATGGCATTATGTCTAGAGAGACTCGATTTTATCTTCATCTTTTTTCAGAATTGGCATGCCTTTATCCAGAGGTGTTCAGTGCCTCCTAGAAGGAAACACATTCACCAGGAGCAAGTTCACACTTCCCAAACACACTTCCCAAAAGGAATCCTGCCTTTAAAAAAATGCATTGTTTATGAGGTGACTTGGGTGCCTTTAGGAAGGTAGTTCTTGTCCTAGAGTTGAGAGGAGATGTGGACACATGCCCCCATCCCTACCCCAGAAGCTATCACTAATTGATAACAACTTGCAAATAAAAGTTAGTTTTCTCAAAGGAGTTTCCCTGGGGAAACAAACCACCTTTAAGGGCAGGCCCCATGCCCAGATGGCCAACACCAATAAACTCAATGGCATCTTTGGAGGCTCTCTGTCTCAAATGTCATGTCAGGCATTTTTCCCCTTTTTCATTAACTTTATATATCATGCTTCTGGCTTTGTGTTTCTATGGGATTCCTGAGTGTGTGAAAGTGTGTCTCTGCATTGATGTGTATTTCTTACACTTTTTCTTTGGCTCTTCCTCTTTTGTTTGTTTTGCCCTGGTCCAACTGCTTTCTAATTATCCTATTTTTTGTTATTTTGCTTTTGTTCCTTAGATGCCTGTCTGTTGTTTAAGAAGAGACAGAAGAGGTGTGGATCTGGGTGGCAAGACAGATGTGGAGGAAATGGGGGGAGTGGGGGAGGGGAAACATAATCGGAATACATGGTAAGAAAAAAACCTCTTTCCAATAAAAAAATCTCCTTCCACCTTTATGTGGGTTCTCAGAATTGAACTCAGCTTTCCGGGTTTTCAAAACAAGCTCTTTTCTCCACTGGACTATCTCTCATGCTCAAGGAATCCTACATTTTCAGGTTGAAAGAGCAGGCCTAAATACCTAGCAAGTGTTTTGTCCCAAGAGTAGCCCCAGCCTCTGAGAAGCCCAAGTGGACAGCTGCATTGCTAGCCACTGATGAGGACCTCATCCCAAACCCCAAGGTCATCTGTGTTTTCTTCTCTAGTCTCTCTGAATAAGCTTGTAAACCCCTCAACTGTAGCCAGGCAGAAAGACACTCAGGTGACAGGAAATGTTGACTGTGTTCTTCAGAGTCCTCTAGGAGGAAATTCTAAGGCGTGTTTCCATGGTGCCTCTTAGTCTTAGACCATGTTGTGACTGGGTGGCCGCATGATTCCTGTGACTGGAGGGTTCAAAGGACATGGTGCTAGCATCCTGGAAAGACAAAACCTACAGAAAGAGCATTTGCTCAAACATAGAAATAGGAGCGTATGGAGCAGCCAGGCTCCCACTTTATTTGTTGGATCTTCTCCCACTATGCGACCTTAATCCACTCGTGTTGTTACGTCCTCATGATCTCATTCCCCTCCCCAAGTCCCACATGCTCAAGGTTGCAGGGAACAAGCTTCTATGTGGGAACCTTTAGGGGGACAAGCCATATGAAGACCCCAGCAGCTTCTCAGGGAGCATGAGCCCCAGGATCTAAAAGGCAAGCAGACTACACTGCCTCCTTTGTCAGGGTTTCAGTCACTCTTCTGGTCAACAGTGATTGTCTAATGTTATATAGTGATTTCAAGGAATATGCAATTCAAAAGTTTCACTTTGTTGCTTTTAGCAGTGGGATGAAGTCTCAGCCCCTCCTGTCTAGAAGGTGACTTATATTATACCAATGTATTCACACTGAATATCTTACCTGATCATTGGTTACCTGGTAGCCACCTGAATTATCAGATACATTGTCCCTTCCTGCTGTGCTTGGATTCAAGTGACCTTTATGTTATAGCCCAACACAGTACCATCCTGACTGTGATAGTCATCTCATTTCCTATTATTACACAGAATGTATCCTTACAACACAGGTGCTACAGCACAAGATATGCTGAGAGAGACCACACTCGTACAACCTGGTGTTTTAACTGGTCTATTTTATTGCCAGTTACTGTTGTTAACTCCTTACTGTGCCTAAACATAAGTTAAATACCATGCATTTGTGTGTACAGAACACGCACAGCAGCACAAGGCTTGCTCAGATCACTGAGGCATCTCCTGAGCATACATTCTGGGGTGATATGTAGCTAGCGTTTTCCTGCCTTGCCCACAGTCAGGACAAATCTCTCACACGCGTCAGTCCCACAGCTGCTCAGACCCAACCAAGCAAACACAGAGACTTATATTGCTTACAAATTGTATGGCCATGGCAGGCTTCTTGCTAACTGTTCTTATAACTTAAATTAATCCATTTCCACATGGCTTGTGGCCTACTGGCATCTTCACATGGTGCTTGTCATGGCGGCAGCTGGCAGTGTCTCCCCCTGCCTTCCTGTTCTCTCAATTCTCCTCTCTGTTAGTCCCACCTATACTTTCTGCCTGGCCACTGGCCAATCAGTATTTTATTTATTGACCAATCAGAGCAATTTGACATACAGACCATCCCGCAGCAGTGATAAGAGACCATCTGCGCACACTCTGGTTGCCCTTGGTAACACATGCTCTCAACTTCCCAAGTTCTCATTCTTGCTTCCAGAGTCCTTTTCCTAAACTAATTGGTGTTGTGGAATAGAATATTTGTT